TTGATGTTAAAACAAGCTCATATTCCCTGTCCCAAACTATCCTTACCTGTCCTGTGTTCTAGTTGTTTGGAGGGAAAGTTTTGTAAACTTCCTTTTCCTCTAAGTCCCAATAAGTCTGTAATACCCTTTGCTATAGTTCATAGTGACCTTTGGGGTCCAGCCCCTTCTGTTTCTATTGATGGTTACAAGTATTATGTGACCTTTATTGATGAGTGTACACGATACTGCTGGATTTTCCCATTAATAAATAAATCTGATGTCTTTGCCAAATTTGTTGCATTCTATTCCTTTGTTATTACTCAGTTTGCAACTCCTATTCAAACTCTTCAAAGTGATGGAGGGGGAGAGTATGTTAGTAAAGCATTTCAGTCATTTCTTCTTGAAAAAGGCATTACACATCATAAATCATATCCATATACTCCTGAGCAAAATGGCCTCGCTGAGAGAAAGCATAGGCATATCATTGAAACAACTGTGACCCTTTTACAAACTGCTAGATTACTTGCCCTGTTTTGGTCCTATGCTTGTCAAACAGCCATCTACCTCATAAATAGAATGCCCACTCCTGTCCTAGGCAATCATTCTCCATTTGAACTATTGTTTGGGCTTCTCCCTGTCATTTCCCATCTTAGATCATTTAGTTGTGCTTGTTATCCGTTATTAAGGCCTTATAATGACTCTAAGCTGCAACCAAAAACCACCAAGTGTATTTTCCTGGGGTATGCTACCAACTATAAAGGGTATATATGTTATGAGGTTTCTAAACAAAGACTATACATATCACGGCATGTAGTGTTTGATGAGTCTCAATTCCTATACACAGACTTGTTGGTCCATCATACCTCATCCCACCTTAGTTCTACCACCCACAGTCCAGTACCTGTTGTTTCCACTGATAATGTTGTGGTCTCTATGCCTCATGTCCCCATAACATCACAATCACATCCTACCTCCTCCAATTTGCCTGGTTCTCCTACCATATCACTATCTCCGATTTCATCATCACCACTATCCTCTCAGTCCATTACTGCCTCTACTACTTCTCAACCTCTTGTGGCACTTGTCAATGGTTCTCCTCAGTCTCAAGTTCCAGAAGTACAATTTCATCCTGATACTTTGTCAGTGGTACTGGAGGTTCCACCAATCGATTTACATCCTATGCAAACTCGGAGCAAGAGTGGAATTATCAAGAAAAGAGCTTTATTAGCTATTGTTCAGGAGTCTGAGGGTACTGATTTGTCTCTTATTGAACCAACTTCCTACAATCTGCCTTGAAGAATCCGATTTGGTTTAAGGCTATGCAAGAGGAAATCAGTGCTTTGCATACACAAGGTACCTGGAATCTGGTGGTCTTACCTTCCTCAAAGAATTTGGTGGGGTGCAAGTGGATATTCAAGATCAAGAGACATTCTGATGGTACTATTGCCCGACATAAAGCTAGATTAGTAGCTAAAGGGTTCAGTCAAGAACCTAGAATTGACTATGGGGAAACGTTCAGTCCTGTGGTTAAACCTACCACTGTTCGATTAGTATTAGCTCTTGCAGCTCAGTTTGGTTGGTCCCTTCGACAACTCGATGTCAAAAATGCTTTTTTACATGGCATTTTAGAAGACGAAGTGTACATGGCTCAGCCTTCTGGGTTTGAAGATGTTCATCATCCTCACCTAGTTTGCAAACTGCAGAAATCCCTATATGGACTCAAGCAAGCTCCCCGAGCTTGGAATGATAGATTCACCAAATTCCTGCCTCATTTGGGGTTTCAAACCACCTATTCGGATTCCTCTTTGTTTGTCAAAACGGTTGATTCTGGGATTGTCATTCTTCTACTCTATGTGGATGATATTATCATCACAGGGAGTGCATCTACATCCATACAACAGGTTATTACTGTTTTACACACTGAGTTTGACATCAAGGATTTAGGGGATTTGCATTATTTCCTTGGCATTCAAATTTCACGGACTCCCACTGGTTTATTCTTGTCTCAATCGAAATATGTGTTGGATCTTCTCACCAAAACAGAGATGCTCGATGCCAAACCTTGTGACACTCCTTGTTTGCCGTATAACAGGCTTCTCAAGGATGATGGTGATCCATATACCAATCCTACTTTGTACAGAAGTGTGGTAGGTGCTTTGCAGTACCTTACGTTTACAAGGCCGGATATAGCATTCTCTATCCATCAAGTGGCTCAGTTCATGCAATCCCCTATGGTTGCTCACTTTACAGCAGTCAAACGAATCTTGCGGTACTTAAAAGGAACCCTTAGTCATGGCATCGGTTATTCTCGAGGCTCGCTTCAATTAAAGGCCTTCAGTGATGCTGACTGGGCAGGGGATCCTAATGACCGACAGTCGATTACTGGCTTGGTTATGTTTTTAGGGAATAGTCCTATTTCCTGGTCATCCAAGAAGCAACTGATAGTATCCCGGTCTTCTACAGAGGCTGAATATCGTGCCCTGTCATCCACATCTGCAGAATTGGACTGGATCCAGCAACTCTTAGTCTTCTTGCAGGTTCCTTTATTCTCTCCACCTGTGTTGTTTTGTGATAATCTGTCTGCCATTGCTTTGTCTTTTAATCCCTTTCAACATCAACGCACTAAACACATTGAGATTGATGTTCATTTTGTGCGGGAACGAGTGGCAAAAAAAGCACCTCTCTGTGCAGTTTTTGTCATCCAAATAGCAGTTTGCTGACATTCTGACTAAAGGCTTGAGTTCTCCTTTATTTCATATTCACTATTCCAATCTCATGCTTCGTGCCTCCCAGCCTGAGTTTGCGGGAGGGTGATAGAATATAGAAATTGATGTATAGGATGATGACATGTGTAATTAGATTAGAAGATGTGTTAGTTAAGGCAGTTAGCCTTGTTGTTAGAAGTGTATAAATATCTCAACCTCTTGTATTACTTGGTGATTAAGAAATATATCAAGAACATTCATTCTCTCTCTCTTCTCTCTGAATTGTTATCTCTCTCTAGAATTTCTGTATACAATTTCATAGATATAGTTACATTCACAGTAGGCACCAAAACAAATTCTTAAAATTAAGTTGGGTTTCTCATATTCTCTATTGGATTTTCACCATGCCAGATTTCTAAATTTTACTTTAGGCAGGATTAATATGCACATCTCTACCAGTATATAGTTCCCCTAATTGATTTTCACTCAAAATTTTACAGTGTCCAACCAGTGAAATCCAATGTCATGTATGTCACAATGCGGAATTCGTCCAACTGAATGTGTTTCTAGTTGATTATATATCAAAACTAAATAAAACTATGAAACATATGAAGATAAAATACACACCTGGGATACGAGCCTAACAAAATCCCAGCACAAGGAGGCACATGGAAGTACTCAACGAATGCTGTAACTGCCTAGCTTCTGAAGCTCTTTCGGACGAAAGGACCTTGTAGACTACTCATTAGCAAAGACATCATGGTGTGAGTGCAGGATAATTCACACCAATAAAACTATAAAATCAATGATAAATTTCACTCTGAAACTTGATCTACTTTCGTTGTAATAAAATCCAAGATTGTACATGTTATTGCTAAAAAAAAAAAAAGAAAGCAAAATTCCACATCAAGCAGCAGGTATATAAATGCTCTTCTATATAAATTCACCTTGTAGACATGTTAATTTTGTTGTATACAAATAATGCATCACAAAACTCCATATGACATATGACTCATCACAAATGGACAAGTCATCAATGACATGTGGCACAAATCAAGCAAAGGAAGCACAAAAACTTCCCAAAATTCGGCAAAGGGGAGGAAATCTCCTTCAAAATCGGCAAGGGGTCCAAATTACTCCCAAAACCGGAAAGAAAGCTAAACCATCTTCATAAAACAAGCAAGAAGTGAAGATTGCTTACAAAATAGGTAACAAGCCCTCTAGAATTCAGCCAAGATAGGGTAAAGTGGCTGAAACTGGACACAAAACATGCCTAAATTCTCCTATGGACGAATCAAGACACAAATCAAAGCCAAATCCACCCAAACGCATGGCTTTGGAAGTTTATAAATACAAGGAGCCAAGACAACATAAGGGTCGAAACTCCTACATCCAGAAGAACCTCTGCACAAATCCTTGAAGACTAATACGCTACCAAAGCTCTTTTCGAAGAACGTACAACCAAAGCCGAAGCATTCACTTGAAGAATCAATAAGCACTTGTGCCGATTCCTTCAAGACTTTGTTACAAGCTCAAAACTTGTAACAACGTTTGATTCAAGATCAAGTCGTCAAAACCCTTGAATCAACAAAATCCCGCATCAACACCATCTTTGCCGCACCTTGAGGTGAAGATCATCTACGCATCGTTTCAAGCTCAAAACTTAAAGCAATCGTTCAATATTTCGTCCGAGATCAAGTCATCACGACCCTTGGATCAACAACTTACGCATCTACATCACATTTGAAGACTGAATCAGAGGAAAATTGTAAGCAAAGATTGTAGCCTTACGAATCTACTTTGTACACGTGTTCTCGTTTCATTCGCTACAGAATATTCGTGTTTACACACCTATTAGCTCTTAACTAACTCACACACACCATGCATATATAGTGAATCACTTTCTTTTTAGCAAACAAAAAGAATATCACACGTTACGAGTAATAAGAGGTCCAACGCCAATTAATAGTTAGCAGAAATATAAAGGATGTTCATGTAAATTAAAGAGTTACGAATTAATTATCAAATATAGTTATGATCAAGCCCTCCTCTTTAATTTTATGATTTATTGTGTTTTTTTTTCACAATAATGAGATGCTCTCGTAGAAATTAGGGTCTTCCTCTACCTCTTTTACCATAAGCTTCTATCTCATAATCTCATAGTCTAACCAGAACATCAGTAAGTCTTCGATTCACAAACAATTTGTTGTTAAATAATTAATACCTCGTTTCATAACCATTTCGTTTCAGTTTTTAGGTTTCATTTTTGTTATCGCGAAAAGGAAAAGGGAGAACTCACGAGAAAAAGAACAGAAATTCAAGAAGAAAACACAAGTACTGAACCCTGCAATATATTATTTCACTATGTATCACATACATTGGCCAATGACTCAAAATTTACAATCTCTAATTCTAACGGAGCTGAAAACTGCTTCTGTACAGAGTCATCTGGCTACAGGGGCCCACTCCTAGGAACAAATTGAACCAAAAAATCTTGTTGTATAACATATGTGCAACCCATCGATGTACAAAACGCAGCGTTTTTCTAAACTTGGGAGAGACTGAAGCTGTATCCTTTGAGACCTACTATACCAAAGAACAAACTTACAAAGCTTATCTACGGTTACGATGTCTGTCTTTTACACGGTTGGCCCTCGCTGCTAATCGCGCCGTGAAACCAACAGTCTGCGGCCGCAAAGATCTCTGCCGCACCATGTCACAAAATTCGGGATCATTTGATGTGCCCTCGTAGCGTATCCACTGTATCATTCTATGGTACATTGGGAAGAACCGCATTTGAACGGCTGAGCATGTGAAGTATGGGATTAGAGCGGCGATTGGCACGAAGATTGTGAGGAGCCAGAACGAAGGGGCGGGGGCCAGGGCTTCAATGAAGATTTTGTAGGCAGTGGTGGAGACTGAGGGTGACATGGCGCCGTACGCCAAGAGGAAGAGGTACCATAGTGCAATTGAACCCCAGATGAAGAGGTGCTGTATTAAGGTGAAGTAACTGATGGCAAGTGCCATCTGCAAGTTCACAACCCAAACTGTGCACGTGTACATCGTTGCCCCGAGAATATCCCTTCCGGCAGTTTTGCCCTCATTGTTGAAGGCCTGCTGATTTAGCGCTTCCGTGCAGAAGAAGAAAATAATCACGGCAGTTGTAAACCCATTCAACATCCATCCGAATATTCTACGCCAGCTGAAGAGAACATTTTGCACCCCTTCTTGGTATAATAGAGGAAACTGCCACACAAAACAGGATAAACAATTAATGCCAAAAGTTTCAAAACAAGGCTTGAAATTAAGCATGTTAATCCGAACGGAATTTCACATGTAACCCAGTGAGCTTACCTTGAGATAAAACCGCGCAGATACATCCTGGTCGAGAACTCCCATAGCAACCACCGGAAGTGATGAGAAGAATACGTTATAAAGAGACAAAAACCAGTCGTTGTATGCAGGCTGTCCAGAGAAGGATGTGTTTGCCTCATATAAGAAGAGAGTGAAACCAAATGCGATGTTCTTGTAGAAGAAGTAGCAAATCTGCAAGGAGAAATTTGCACACACGAGTTTTAGCCTGTGATAATTTAAATTTTTTTTGCCACATTGTCGAAGATTCTGAAGTCTCAAGTTTGTTTCATAGTATATGACATGCATACCATTGATGAGATCCTCCTGTAACACCAATGCCCGTGCACAAGCAGGAGACGCTCCAAGTATCGAAATTGTGCAATCGCAATATCACTTGACATGACCGCCTGTGAAAAAATAAGCATGATAAGTTCATGAGAATAAAAGTTTAGAGGAAAATACAGTGAAACAATAATTAATTTCGGTAAAACAAGTGGAAGAATCTGTACAATACCTGCATTCCTTCAACACCACTAATTCCAACCCCGATATCTGCTTCTTGGAGCATGCCCACGTCATTGGCTCCATCACCGATTGCTAGTGTTGTTTTCCCAGTTCCAGATTTTACCAGTCTAGTGACCTATTTTACATTTCACCATTGAAAACAAATTAATTCTTTTCTGAGCATGATGTAAGAACAAAAATGAAAAAGAAAAAAATCCTTATGTTATAATTTGTAAACATACCAGTGCCTTCTGTTTAGGTGATGAACGGCAGCAAATAACAGATGCACAGCCAATTGCAAGATTTAAAAACAAATTCTTTGTATCATCCTCCAAAGCGTAAGCAAGCGATTTTCCATCAATGATCAATGCAAATGCCTCAGAGTTCCCGCTCGATGCTATAAGCTGAGCCTTTCCCCTATTTATCTGATCGAGAACACTTCCTTTTGATGCCTAATGATGAATCAGCAAATATTGTATCAGCATCATTACTAAGGTACTATTATATTGTTGAAGTAAACTGTTTTACTTCCTTGAGTATTAAGCTACAGATTCCGTTTTCAATACACAAACAAATTCAACTATATGCATATAGTTTTACCTTGGCGATGGCCTCCTTTTCTCCTGCCTTTTCCAACGCTTTAATCTCCGGAGACTCCAAAGTGATTACAATTTGCTTCATTCCTTGTCTAAGCAAGCTACATGCAAACCCAATATTGATGGCAGTCTCCATCTTATCTCCAGTCAAAACCCAAATCTTAATTCCTGCTTGGGCAAGCTTGTCAATGCAGTCAGGAACCTAACCAAAAAAGAAAGAAAGAACATTAATTCAAAATCTGATATCGTCTATAAAGAAACTTCCATGTTACCCCATCAATATATGACTACATACCCCATTTTGTAGTTTGTCCTCAACAGCAGTTGCACCAAGAAGAATTAGATCTCTCTCAATCTTTTCTGTTACTTCATCGATCACTGTTTCACGATCTGCACTAATTGAATTCTTGGCCTTGATAAAATTTTGATTGAACTCTTTGTATTCGTCTTCCTCAAGTACACGATAGGCAAGTATCAAGGTCCTCAGCCCTGCATCAGCATACTCATTTAGATGATCCATGGTCTCTTCTTCAAAACCCGAACCATTTTTGGCAAGCCTTTCAAGCATAACACTGAACAGAAAAGAAGTTATGCTGGTTAGAAGAACAGTTTTAAATTTGCAGTAAGAAGTAAGAAGAGATTCAAGTTTAAGGCAGCAAGCACTTACTTGTCGGCACCTTTGGAAAGTAATAATATTTTTCCTTCCTCACTTCTGACAATCACAGACATTCGCTTCCTTGTGCTGTTAAACTCTAAAACATTGAGAAGGCTATACGTCCTGCAAAAACGACATCACTCAATGAGTATACTCTCTACAGTACTTACTAAGAGTACCAGCACAGATATAAAAGTCCTAATAATCAGAAAAACAATGCAATATACGAACCTCTCAACTTTCTTGCCAGACACTGGATCCAACTCTCGCAGTGATATGGTTGTTTGCGTTCTTTTGTAGAATTCAAAACCAAGTTCTCTTGCTGCAATCACAAATGCTGCTTCATCAGGAGATTCAGCCTCATATGAAACATTCCCAGTAGCTTTATCAACTTCCGGAATTGCTGTATGACAGATTGCTAATAAACTGAAAAACTTCTGGATGTATTCTGCATTAGGCTCATTAACCCAGTTTCCATTCATGACCCTTTTGTCTTTAAAATTAAAGCCTTTGATGGGTGCCTTTGTTTCAGTAGAGTCCTTGAGATTGTCCCCTCCACTTAGTTGATGAACCAATGGTGAACCATTTCGTCGACCCATAGCCCTCTCAACTTCAGTAAAGCCGCGGCCATAAGCTGTCCCGGCCACAGAACACTTAATGAACTCCATTGAATTGCAGGTCAAAGTTCCCGTCTTATCAGAGAGAATTGTGTCGACTTGGCCAAGTTCCTCGTTCAAGTTTGAGGTACGGGCGTGTGCTGGTTTGTCAGCCTCCTCATAGTACATGTGAACATCTCGATTGATGAAGATGCTCTGAAGAACTTTGACAATTTCTATGGACACATACAAGGAGATGGGGATAAAGTTGCCATACAACATTAGGGCAGTCAAAAAGTGGTAAATTGCTGCATACGGAGCTCTTTTAGCATCAAAGAAAATTCTAGAATTATCTGGCCTGAGATACCACCTTTTCATGATCCCTTTGTTTAGGTCATCTTTCGTTGCAATCCCAAAGAAAATGGACCCAACAAATGCCATTAAAAATATAACACAGAACAAGAAGTAGATAATTTTATCCATCTTCTTCTCAACTCTGCTTCTTTTTGAAGGAGGGGCGGTAGAATTTTGAATAACCTTTGTGTCAGGACCAGTGAAGATAACAGCTCCATATACGTAGTCTGTATTTCTGAGTTTAGAGTCTCTCAGGAGAAGCTGTTGAGGAGAGACGGGAAATTGTTCATTGTCGAACTCCATAGTTCCAACAAATGAGTACAAATTTGCATTCGGGTCTTCACATTTAACAATGGCGTTAAAATCGTTGAAGTTAGAATCCTCCCGCAAGGATAAAGTTACTTCCAACCCTTGTTTTAACTTTAAATTTGTCTCCCCATCAAGGTTCATGGTCTCAACATAGCAAATTGCATCGTCAAAACTGGATGAGAGCAAGAGGAGGTCTGTCGGAAAGAATTCGTCCTTTTCTACCTTCACTATATCTCCCACTCTCAGATTTCTCCACGCAGTATAATTGAAAGCCCCATTACCATCACGTACTTTAACCTTTCGATTGTTCACCTCAATATCCTGGAAAATCATCGCACTTGTGAGATTATATAGCCGCGGTTGACAGTATACCAGAACCAGAAAATGATATGTAAACTATAAAGCAGGTAAGATACATGGCACAGTCAACTAATTCAGATCGAGTATATCTTCAAGGAAGTAAAAAAATCTAGTTTGATTATCCTCCAAGCCTCGGAAAACTTTCATTCAATAAATTTCCTCATCAATTCTAACTCCCAAGATAGTTATAGTAAAATTCAACAGTTAAAAATCCTCAACTACTAATTTAAGTCAGTGAAATTTTAAGGGACAAGGAAAGAAAAACAACCAAAATATAGAGCCAGGCTGAAGAAAGAAAAACCAGTACCTGTTGTTTTCGATGCCAATCTTCGATACCCTCTTTCACCATGGTCGCGCTAATCACAATAATAAGAGGGATGATCGCGCTGACAGCGCTATATGGAGCCAGAGCTGTGAAGGACAAAATGCCAGTGACTAAGAAGTAGAAGTTGGCCACCCTTCTGAACTGCTCAAACAAAGATTTTGGCAAGAAAGTAGCGAGTGTATACTTTGTACTTCTAACATAATTGTCTCCGTAATTTTGCATCTGAGCCTCGAAAGATTCCGGTTCGTTGCAGTAAACCACTCTGGAAAATCCTGGTCCCCCGATTTGTGAATGTTCATCTCTCATAGAAGATTTACCACAAGTGAAAGAATAGATCTTGCTGAAATGCAGCTTTCTCCTTCTGCCTCCACCCCTCATTTTCTCTCTCTAATTCCCTCTCACTCTACCACAAGCTCCAACCAACACAAACCCAACTTACAAGGCTAAAAAGCTGCTTTTGAATTCCAAACCCTCACTAATTAATGCAACTTCTTCAAATGGAATAAAATCCAAAAGCAGTTTTGAATATGTATCCTAGTGAAAATAAGAGGTAACAACTTCTGCAGCTGCTTCTTGAAAAGCAATTCCTCAGTGAAAAAAAAAAAACAGCTTCTTTCTTAAAAAAAAGACACCCACAGCAAGAACCCAGTTCCACAACCCCCCAAAAATTCACAAATATTAAACACAGAGACCCAAAAGTGGGGGAAAATCCCAGAAAATAAATAAAACTTTCTCAGGCAGAAAGCTCAGAACCCCAGTACACAAAAAATAAACAAATTCGGTATCCAACAGAGAAAAAGAACAAATAAAAACAAAGAATTTTTACAACCTGAAAGGTAAAAAAACAAAACCAGAAAAGGCTTACTTATAAGCACCCTGCTTTTTCCCCTTCTGCACACCCAGCTCTCTAATCTGCACACCCAAAGTTGTAAACTTTTTCTCTCAACAGAAGAAACCAACAAATCCAAACCCACAAATATTCAGAAATAAGGGTTGGGAAAGATTGGTTTTATATGAACAATATTCGGGTATTTGAATTTTCTCTAAAAATTGCAGCTTTGAACGGAGACTTGGTTCGGATCTCGCATTTTGACTAATGTCAAGGACGCGCATTTGCCTTCGGTTTTTCTTTTCTTTTTTTTTAAATTTGAAAATTGATTCCAAAGACTCAGCTGCTTGCCCAGAAAAAAACAAAACGAAGAATAGGGAGGAATGTTTGAAATGGATTTACCGAATTGGAATTTTCCGGGTAAGTTCAGTTTCGCGGGAAAGTTAAGGGGGGAGCTCCTCGTCAATGGTGGTGACTGTTTTATGCGTGAAATGGTCTTCTCCTTCTAGTCCCTCTCTCTCTCTCTCTGGAACTTGATTAGAAAAGTCCTCGAAATGATTTGCATTAATCTTCTGATGTAATGATTAATTAGCGGATGACTAATTCATTAATCAGAGGGAGGAGGAGAGAGAGGGGAAACTGGAAAAGTGTTTCAAGGAGATTACTGGAAAATTAGGGTTTTTTTTATAGGAAAACTAATGAAAAGATCTTGAAAACTTTGAGTTTTAATGATAAGGACAAAATAAAGAGTAAAGTGAATAGTACATGATTGACTTTTTAGTGTAAAAATGTGATTTTTCGTTAAAGTAAACAGTACCAGATGCTTTTTGTTAAAGTTCATTTTTTTTATTTCAGAGTAACTTTCTTTTTTTATCGGTTTAATTTTTCATGGTTTTTCTTAATTGGTTGGAAACAAATTTAAGACAAATACAAATTAAAATTAAGGAATTATTTTTTTTAAATTTAAAATTAGGGAAATCAAACGGGATGGGCGCGGCGGGTCAAACACTCTTACACCAAAGCACTAACATCACATGATGCACCTTTTCTTGTCTTTTTATTTGCTTCAAATGTTTTTTTGTATTGTTTTTGTACTTTTAAAACGTTTGGCACTTTTGTCTGGTTCAAAGACCAAAAACAAAAGCTTTTTCTTCGTCAACTCAAAATACAACAAACAACAACAAAAGGGTTCGTCTCATTAAGTGAGATCAGTTATATGAATTTTATAATGTTATTGTGTTCGATTTTATTTCAAGTTTTTCATTAGCTACAAATGCTCTATATTTTTTTGGAATCTCTTTCCAAATCTTCCTAAGTATTCATTTACCCTTTTCTTTGTCAATTCAAAATAAAAGAGGAAAAAAAAACTTTTGTTCCAAGTGCCATGAAACACTTGTATTTTTTAAAGTTTAAACCAAAAGGAGTAAAGGATCTTGAATAGTTTATTTTAGAATATATTTTGGTAAATCTAGGGAGTCATATAGAGGGAATTAACCAAAGCAATTCATAATTAATTAAGGAATATGGAATGGTAAATAAAAAAGGTAAATCAAATATTGATACATCTATCCACGTCGACATATATGGTAATAATATTGATAGTATTTGGGAAATGGCCTATCAAGAAGAACTGAGTTGGATGCCACCTTTTCTCCGAAAAAAAAAATAAAATAAAAAGATGGACTCCATGGCTATTGTTATGTTGTTGAAACAAATCTAAGTTGACAATTTCCATCTTTTTTAGATAATTATGCATAGTTGCAGATTAATTATGAGACAACTAAGGAGATGTGAGTTGAAACACATTTACAGAGAGAATAATATTATGACAGATCAATTGGTTAACTGAAATTTAACCAGCTCTCATAGATGAAATTGTTGAAGTCTGTCGGACTCGTTTCGTGTCTGCTGCATGCTTTGTAGTTTGCTATTTGGTCCCAACAAAAATGTCCCCTATGTTTAGTAATGAAAGAGACCACTGCGTGCACCGCTCCATTGCATGATTATCGTAACGATGAAATTACACAAGGAGCCTCAAGATCATTGAGGAACTTCAAGTGAATCATATCAATCGTCATCTCACCCTTCAACATAAGAATTAGATTGATATTTTACAAATACTTAATTTCAGATAGTTCAATTGTAGTGACGTAACATTGTTTTGTTTGAGTGCATACAATCTACTATGATCCGTTACAAAAAAAAATTAGGAATAATTTAATATTTTCAACTTCGTCTGTATCTATGGACGCGTGTGTTAATTAAGGTGGCCGTGCAGATGGAATATTTACCCACCAAAAACCAAAATGGTACGTAAACGTAGCACGGGCAGCAGGTGGCCGGCTCAGAATATGTATAACATGTGATTAGTATTACATGCACGCATGAATTGGGAAAGAGGCAAAAGAAGCCGTCGAGCCCGTGAAAGAAGACACCGTTTTGGTAAGCAAAAAACTAAAAAAAATTGCCGTCACAAAATCACTTTCATCAGTTCATTCATCCAATAGGATAGGACCATATCATTTCAAGTCTTCAATCAGTATATATGTATATCCACACACAATATATATATATATATATGATGGATCTCTCTACTTGTATAATAAAATTTAATGTATGTGTCCTTATTCCAAACACACTAAAAAAATCTCTTCATATATTATTGTTCACTAAGGTTATTGACCAATTAGCTTGTGCCATTTCATAAGAAAATTGTAGCATGCATTGTGTCTTGTTTCATTGGAATTGTCATTTGTGAATCGTCATTAGGGGGATGGTGGTCCAGCATTGGCCCTAAGGAGTTAAGCACTATGTTCTTTTAACCCTTACCCAAAAAAAAATTTTTAAAAAAAGAGACAGTCCTCCTTTCCATTTTACATGCTCCAACTATTAGGGTTTAGGGTGAAGATTGCAACACGATGACCTAAGAGATCACCTATTTCAGTATTTACTTTCACATAAACTCGTTTAACTTCAGAGTTTTGTTGAGATCCAATAAAATAAAAACTATTAGGATTTAGGATAAATACTAACATGCATGGGCTCCATAAATATAACAAGAGCATATATTCGACAAATTGGACAGAAATTAATTAATCACATTACAATAGGGCCAAAAAGTTTGTACAAACATATCCATCCATTTCCTTGTCCCTCCAACAACCATGAATATAAGAAATTGAATATTAAAGTGAAAGCAACCTACTACACATATATTTGTGTGTAATGGATGGTACTGGATTGGTTTGGATAAATTATTGTAGATAAACAGTAAATTACATGATGTATTGTTCTACGTATTATTTTTTATATGTCCTCTTCTGTCGACGTAGATTTATGAAAAACAAATCTATGTAGATATAATGCATTGTGATCATGCTCCAAATTCATTGAAAGTTGCTCGCTATAGCAATAGAAAATAAAATCTCTCATAAAATAAACGAAAAGGATCAATGTGGACGGATCATTTTGTTCTAAAACTAATTTTGGGAGAGTTGTATGGTTTTTTCCGACGAAGCCGGTAACTATGCTAGAAGTTTCGTTCGTAAAATACCGGATGTGACTAGCCCTTCGACTGCTGAGTTTCTCGCAGCTCCTGATGCTGCGCAGCAATCTTTTGGCAGTAAGTTTCCGTAAGTGGTCCTTGAGAATGATGCTCTTCAAGTTATTCAACTTCAGAACCTGGGCAGCATGCAGATGTGTTCTACTCCATTGGGTTTGATTGTGGAGGATATCAAGTCTCTTTTGCAGAACTTCGGAGATGTCCGTGTATGTCATATTTGTAAAAACGTCAATGTTATGGAGTATAGATTGGCCAAATTAGCCTAATTTTAATTCTTGTTAATTTGAGGAGCCCTTACGTGATCAAGGATGCCTTCATTCACGTTAATAAAATTGCTATCGTTCACTTTAAAATAGAGCTGCTCAAATAATGTTCCAAATATTGCGTTATCTTGAAATGGTCAGTTCCTAACAGCTATTATCTGAACCCGATTGGAAAGCAATTTTAAGATCCAATTATCTGCTTTGACCAATCAACGTGTGGATTAATATGTGTTAAGTGGATGACATGTGAAGAGCGAAAGCTTCCAATTGATGTATCATTTGCTTACATGACCCGCTGAATTATATAGTGACACGTTTTGGCGACTTGTGCAAGAGTGGCTGCTGCAGAAGCATTGGGCAACGACTAGTACAAATAGATCCAAATTTACAAAAGAATAGAAAGAAAAAACATGTAAATTAAGACAAATACATCAATATTATATATCCTTAGAATATCCCACCCACTTGATTAATGTAACCCCACATAAATTATAGTGCCTTAATTGGAATTGTAACTGTCATGGTAAATAAAGTTTTTATTTTTAACATATATTTTGAATTTAAATTACTCCCTTTTATTGTATTGTTTAGAGTAATAATGTTACTTACATTAAAATATAAAAAATATATATATAATGATGGACATGTGGTAGTAAAATTCAGTTATCTTCGGTCTCGACAAAATTATACCTATGAAACAAAGTAACACATTTGATCAAGGCCAAAGCCTCACGCATCCACAAGGTGGGAGGTTGGGAATGGACCTCCGATGTAAGTCAGTTTATCTTAAAAGAATTAGTGTTTTGGGTTTGTATGCGTATCAAAAGCTTACCAAAAATTGGTTGACATGGGGTATTTATAGGAAGGTGGTGGTTCTAGCTGTAGGATTTTGCCCTACACGTGGCGGCTTTCCATTAGCAAGGTGAGTTATTCGTAGATGAATAAGGAAAGAATAATCTCAAAGATATTAATTATGAGCTAACATCTTCGGATGATGATGGTAGTATGATTGAGTGTGGTGAGGATTCCTCACTTGTGTTGGTTGGTCTTCAATTAAGAGAGTATTAAAGATACAATTCTTATATTTAATGCCTTTGACTTTTCTCTCTTACTAGGACAGAAAGTTTGGTGGTGTCGTAATTTGTTGCTCAAGCCTCCAATATTAAACTCATGCGCGAGGGAATATTTGTAAGTCATGCCTATTTAATGAGGCATTCTTGTCTTTTTAGAAAAAATCCAAGTGTCATTCCTAAGATTACCTATATAATAAAATTAAACAAATACTTGAATCTATTTTAATTCATTAAAAATTAAAAAAAAAAATAAAAAGATTGCCAATAAACGCTACCTAGTTTAATAAGAAGAATTCATAATTCTTTAAATTGGATTTTAATAAAGATAAATAGAAAAATAAACCCCAATTACGTGACCTTTTATGATCAGATTTCATGTACATGTGTTCCCACACAAGGAAGAAGAAAATTCATATGCATATTTAACGCGTGGAAGGCTTCGTCTACGATTTTTCTCGTTTTTAGTATGTCGCATGCATTGTCATTCTACTCAAATAAACTTTTTATTTATTAATATACCCTAAAACTAGGAGAAATTGATTTATTGTGCATGGAATACGGGTTGTTAAGTCTTAGGTTTATTGTTTGGCTTCCCTTGTTAAATCTTATAATTGCTACCATACATGTTCATAGTTTAGAGTTAGAGTG